TTATATTTTATTGTATTATAATTAATATTTATATATTAACTAATACAAGATTGTATCAATGTTTATTTAAAAAGATTTAAAAAAGTTTTTAACAACCACAGCAGCATGCAGATTTGAAATGAAACTAATCCACTTCACCTCCCTTCCATTTCCCCACCTAAACAAACGAAGTGATGAACATTAAAGAAAAGTAGGGGAATAGGAATGTATGTATATATATATATATATATGTGTGTACATACACACATACACACACACACACACATATATATGTATATATAATTATGTCCATGCACCTAAAGCACAACTTTGACCACTTACCGGGTATCATCCACAACTTTTTGTATATTGCATCTCCTGCATCTTTCTCTATCAAATAATCAGCCTTGTGCCGTCAACTTGTTGGTCATGGAGGTTGGTGTTCAGCTTTCACCTTCAACAAAGTCACCAAACAAAAATGAAAAAATTATAGACAGAGAACTCTTCCGACAAGCTACCTTTAATTTACTAGAATTATTTTATTTCACGAGTTAAAAAACATGGTAAAAAAACGAGTTTTTGATCTTAATTATACGGGTTTAATTCTTATAATTAGTACGCTGTGAATAGAATCTCGCATGCATCAAAGTTGATGTAAAAAAGTGTAATCTTAAAGATTATTCTGAAAATGACTTAAACCACGATGAATGAAAAAGTAGAATCAAACGAAAAGCAACATAAAAATAAAAAAACAAAAAACCAAAGAGATGACAGATTCATGGGGATGTAAAATAATGTAAGTTCCAATTATAAATCTGTAAGGATGGATCTATAGTTCATGGGCAATGGAGCAAGTGGTGTTCGAGTTGGAAAGTTGACGAAGCAACTTAATAGTGAAATACATAAAGAATAGAATAATAGTGATGCTTAAAGGTTCAAAAACTGATCAAAGTGAGCTCATTAAAGGGCTGATGTAACCATACACAAAAGAGAGAATCTGTATTTCCTCTTTTTCATTGACTAGGATCGAAAGTACAGTAAAGCTATCTTGTATAGGAATATGATCCAAACTGGTAAGGTAAGAATAATGAAGCTGATGTAACAGAAAAGGAAGGAGCTTAGGTGACAAGGAAGAGAAAAACTATATGATATATTATATATATATATACATAAGCAACATCTCCTAACCAGAGCAAACATTCCAAAAAAATTAACCACGGACTTGGTTTTTCCCACCTGATTTGATGTGTGTGCAATGCTAAACTTGCAAATTTATGAGAAAGAGCAATCTCATTCAATAATCTTTTTCAACAATTATTCATACGTTGATGAATGAATTGTTGTTTATTTCATTAAATATTAAGAACCTATATATACAAGTGAATAGTAACAACAAAAGAAATAATATTAATTATAATGATTACAAGAATTTAGAGTATGTTAGCAATATACTCTTTATCTTAACGAAGCTCTAACAAGTACTTCTTAATATTCTCCGTTAAATACGTAAATATATATTATTTGTTTCTGTTTTATCAATAATTCTTTAAAATATAAAATTACTTAATTTTTTAGTCAAAACATCAGCGAGTTGCGAAGGATTCACATATATTGAATATAAATCAACTTACTAAATAGTTTTTCTTTAATAAAGTATCTGCTTATTTCAATATACTTAATTTTGTCATGTTTTATGGATTGTCGGTGATATTAATTATTGACTTATTATTACAATAGAGTCTCATAGATCTATCCTATTAAGTCTTTAAGTTTTCTAAAATCATCTTCAACTATCGAAGCTCACACACCCCTTGAGTCAAAGTTTTAAACTCTAATTATGCACTAGAATAAGTTGCCATATTCTATTTCTTACTTTTCCAAATCACTGGATTCCCTTTAAGAAAGTTACAATATCTATAAGTTGATCTTCTGTCAACTTTTGTCCAATATAATCTATATCAATGTATGCTTCAATAATTTGGACATAATTTTCTTCCTCATAGTACCATTCAAATACTAAAGTATTATGTAGGCTATAGTAAGTGCACTTCTTTAAATTGTGCATAAACTAGCTCTCTACACTAATTGCATATGTAATGCTTCGCCTGATACATGACAAGTATATCAATTTTTCTATCAGACTCTAGTGCATTTCCTTGTCACTTCTGGTATGTTTCCCTGTCCATATCTAGGTTTAGTTCTACTAGTTCTAATTTATGATTGGGATTGATGGTTGCATTAGCCGGCTTGCATGCTAGTTTTTTAGTTTCCTTTAAACAAATCTATGATATATTTTTGTTGGGAGATTAACTTCCTTGACTTTGGAGAGGTCTCTTCTATTTTAAAAAAATATTTTAACTTCTCTAGTTATTTAATTTCGAACTTCCTAGCAATGCATTACTTGAAAGCTACTTTTTCGTCTTTATCGTTTGTTATAACAAGTATATCATTCACATATACTAGGGGGATAGTGACTCCTCTCGAATTTAAGTGCTTAATAAATAGGGTGTAGTCTCCCTAACTTTGTTTATACCCCATGGATAACATTACTTTTACAAATCTACCAAACTATATATGAAGAGATTGTTTAAATATATATGGTGCCTTTTTTCAATTTGCATACTCAATTCCTTCCTACTCCTACAGTAAACTTGAGAAAAAATCTCTACGTAAATTTCTTCTCCAATTGAACTTAGCATTTATAGACAGTATGATATGTATCGTATTCATCTTTATAATAGGTGCAAATTTTTTTTGGTAGTTAATCTCACAGGTCCAAGTATATTGTTTGTCTGCCAATCTTGCCTTACATCTTCTATTGTTCCATTGAACTTGTAACAGTGAATACTCATTTCAAGCCTACCGGTCTTTCTCTTTGCAAGTCCATTACTTCCCATTTATAGCATTTTTCTATTTCTCATTAGGGAACACCTCATATAGTATTTAAAAATAAATAATGTAAAGGCTTGTAAGAAACTTTTTGTAAGATGGAGAACATTTTTTAAGGGATAAAAAATTTGAAACAGAATAGTGGGATGCTTAGTGCATGCTCTCGTCCCTTTTCTAAATGCAATAGGTACATTAGTGTTCGACTCAGATTCTTGAACTTGTTTTAAATCAGATTCTAAGTTCTTCCTTCTTGAATACCTCGAAAAACCATGGGTTTAGCTTGGGTTCAGGTTTAGGTTCATTTCTTGGAGGTACGGGTTTATGTTCACTTTGCGGGCACCAGGTTTTTATTGGCATAAGCATTATAGATTGTACTCTTCATAAGTAAGGGAAGATAAAAAAAAAAAAATAGGTTAAAGAAGCGTTGATTCTCCTTATTTTCTAGTATAGTCTCCCCCGAAAGATAAGAATTATCATAAAAAGATTTTATCTCAATATATGTGATATCAACTGATACAAATAAAAAATTTTGATCATGAGATTGTAACATTTGTAATCTTTTTGGGTGGATGAATATCTCAACAAACATACCTTATGGTTGTAGAATCAAGGCTCCCTCTTTGTGATTAATGTATGTGAACATAAGTAACACACCCAAAGACCTAAGAAACAAAGTTATTGAAAACTCATACCTCAAGAAAAAATGAGCAAGAACTCCTATAGGACTACGAAGGTCTGGAATTCGAGATGGTAACTGGTTGATCAGGTAGGTGGCAACTCACATTAATACATTTTACACTTACTTAAAAAAAAACAAAATTTCTCCTAATATTGTTTAGGAACACAGTTCTGAAATTAAAAAAAAAAAAATCGAGTAGCAGTAAACAAGTAGTTTTTTTTCATTATACTACTTTATTTTGTTGTGAAGTATAAACATATAAATACTCATCAATAATTTATTTATTTTTTTTAAATGACAATTTTTCGTCAAAGTAATTTTTAGAATTACTAGTTCTGAAATATTTCATTTTTTCTCCAAATTGCGTAGGGATCATTAGTATTAACCTCAGAGAAATATATAAATGTTTTCATCTTTAGACTTCAATTGAAAAAACCAAGTTCCCTGAATATCAATTATCAATAAATGAGACAAACTGTTGACCTCAAAAATAGAAATATTTGAGAGAATCCAAACATCACAATAAATTAAGATAAAAAGAAAATTACTTCTTCATTACAAGAGAGAAAAATTACAAGTTGAAGTTTGCCTGTTCATGTACATCGCAACGTAATTTTTCATTATTAGAATCAAAAAACAAAAAAGGAAATATAACCTTGAGATAGAGAAAGAATGGTGTTCTAATCTTCTCCAATATAGCCATTATATGTCTAATGTGCCGATGGGGAGGGTGGTCCTGAATTTCACAATGATCTAGCACATCCGATCATCTTTCCCAATATTTGGTCCTAAAATTTACAATAACAATGAGAAAAAATCACTTTACAACTAAAATCTTGAGATAATTTACTTACTGAAATAAAGTTTGTGCATAGTCGATAAAAAAGGAGTACATCAATAAAAGTAAAGCGAGAGGTTACACTGGTCAATAAACCCTCAGTAGTGATAATTTTCCTATTACTATAACATGGAGTATAGGTATTAAAAACTTTAGACGTGTTTCTCATATGGTTGGTATCACATGAATCCACAATTCATAACATACGAAAATGTTTCTTTCATTCATTTAAATCATGAGAAATAGAAAATGTACTTAAATGTGCCAAGAGTCCACAACATTTGGGTTTTTTCAAGCACTCGAGTCGTGTCTCAGACATTCAATTTCTATTTTAAAATCGCTAAGGTCTAGAGCCTTTTCTTCTCTGTGGATCGGCAAGTGTGCCTATCCATGAGTCTTCTGGAAATTATTCTTGTATCCTCATTCTTTAATGAAGGTACTAGGTTTTTTGTTAGAAGCATACAAAAGATTTTTCCCTTTTTCTCTGCCAGTAACTGATATTTTCACTGTGATTTAGTTCTTTATGCGGTTTGGGGCCTTTGGTTATCATTGCGAAACCCTTAGTGGTGCAGGATTCAAGTATAACCCTTCTTCTACTTTCCTTTATGCTAACTAATGATATCACTTCATTCAAGGATGATATCTCTTATTTTCCCAACATCTAAATTCTCACCTCATCATATTCTTCATTGAGTCCTACCATAAATTGGTTCCTTACCGTTGCTGCATAGATTCATTTTCTAGGATTAAGCATATAACAGTATAGTAGTGAGCTCCTGGAGAAGAAGCTTGGGATTCATTGCAGGAGGGTGATGGAGAACTAACACCACGATGGTCTCATGGGAGCAGTTCACAAGCATCTATGTTGAACATTTTTTAGATTCGACATAGATGCATGAGAACCTGGTATAACGAAACTGTTGATCTTCAAATTTCGGATTCAAAATAGAACATTCTATGTAGAACATCAAGGACTCTACTTGGTGTGCTTCAAATGTGGTTGCTATGGACACAGTAGTGAGAATTGTCAACTAACTAAAGCTTCTTCTTCATCTATCACATGTATGGTAAGCAGCCACCAGAGCCAGCGGTAGAGAGAAGAACAAATGAGGGTGGCAAATTCAGCTCGTGGATGGTGGTGCAAAAAAAGGAAAGCCGGCTAGATTAGGCAACAAAACAAGGAAAGGAATGATCGAAGATTACAATTAACAAGAATCACAGAGACAATAACCACTTTAGGAAACCTGAAATCAACTTTAGGAAACTGAAAGAGAGAGATCTACTCAAGGCGAGTCCAACACTAAATAGAGAGACTCCAAAATCACGACTTCACCGCCGAGCCATTATGGGTTTCCAAAAGCATGGCTTCACAAATAAAATAAATAAATAAAAGAAGAACAGAGAATAGTGTTATGAGTATACCTCTTGAATTCATGAAGTTTTATAAGCACCAAGTAGTCTTTCCACGTACTTTCCTAAAACATCCACCTCCAGGTTCACCTTCTGACCAACTTTCTTCAATGGAAGCACCACATGCTTCTGCGTATAACCCACCAGCATGATATTAAAACAACTCTCATCATCAAACACGTTCAACACAGTCAAGCTAGTCCCGTCAATGGCTATGGATCCTTTAGGCACTATAAACTGCAGTAAACTTTTCTCCGTTTTGATTTTGACCCACAACCCATCTCCCTCCATCTCCATCCCCACGATCTCCCCTGTTCCGTCCACGTGGCCCTGCATAAAATGCCCGCCAACTCGGTCAACGGACCTCAACGCGCGCTCCAGATTGACCTTCCAACCTGGTTCGAGCTCTACCAGTGCGGTTGTTCTCAACGTTTCGGGGGATAATCCGATGGTGAATTCGTTCAATCTTTTGTCGAAATCCGTTACTGTCATGCAAGCTCCGTTGACGGCGATGCTGTCGCCGAGTTTCACGCCGTCGAGGACGGTGTTTGCGTGGATTTTCAGATCGAATCCACCGTGATCGGCGACACCCAGTTGCTTGACCTCGCCCATTTCTTCGACAATTCCAGTGAAAAGGCAACGAGTTGAGGAGTTGCTATGGTGTTTGATGGTGGGCTTTTGATTTGCATGGCCGGCGGTGAAGAGGGAGAGAGTGGATTGCTTGAAAATCGGAGTAAACTTGAAATGGGTTTTGGGTGTTGTGGTTAGGAGATTGAAGATTTGAGGTTTTGGTGAGCTGGATTTTGGTACTTTGGAGAGTGAGTTCAAGGAAGGAGAAACTGCCATTTTCTGTTTATTTCTGGAGAAAATCAACGAGCCAACAGTCCTTGGTTTTGCACTCTGTAGCACGAGATTTAAAACCCTCTGAAATAAAACACTTCGTCACTGAAACATGTTGATTGAAGAAAAAAAAATCATTTGTGATCACATCATCTACCAATCCTCCCCAGGCTGTAATGCAGAGTGCGTCAGCGATGGCAGCTTATGGGGCCACATGCAATTTACTAACCATGCAGGACAGCATGAGCTGCACCATGTTCTAAATTAGATAAACTAAGTTATTTCAAATTAGACTTCTGACAGTTCTGAACCATGCCATTCTCACACACTGAAATTTCTTGTCTAAAAAAACGGTGCTTCAACAGTTTATTTATTTATAAAATGACAAAAAGAAATGTCTTGTAAGAGAAATGAACATATGGATTTAATGCTCTGCGTCTTTTTTTATCCATTTATATTAAATACTTCCAAATAGTCTGACTCAGTCTGAACTTAACCGGGTTTCAACTCATTAACATCAGCTCTTCAGTTTCATTCCAGTTCTTTTATATTTTCTTGGCAACCAAACAGCCTACCAAAGAACAGAGAGGGGGAAGAGAGACATGAGAGAGCTAAGATGAGGAAGGATTAGGACTAAGAGAGGAGAGAAATTTGTGTTTGGTAAGTGAGAAAATGAGTAGAAAGACAGAAAAAAATGAAACAAATTGGCAAAGAAAAACTAGTTTTGTTTTCCCTTTCCTGTTCTCTTAGAGTAATTTTCTTAATTGTCCTTTTTTTTTATTTTTAATTATATTTGGTTTTTAACATTTTTTATTTATTTTAATGTTTTTCATTTTATTAGAAAAAAAATACAATAATTATATTATATTTTAATATTTTAAAAATAATTTTAATCAATAAATTAATAATAATTTTATTTTTATTAATTTAATTAACTAATTAAAATCATTAAATTAACATTACTATTACATTAATTAATTAGTTAAAACATCTAAATATTTTGAACTTTTTCTATTAGAAAATAAAAACAAATTAGATATTTAAAATAAAAAAAAAAATAAAACTGAAATTGTAACAAGTATCATATTTGAAAATTAATTTTTTTATTTATCCTAAAAATATTTTAAAAATTAATTTCTTAATTTACCTTAAAAATTATTAGTTGAACACCTTTCTTGATATTTTGTGTATAAGAAACTTATAAATGATGTATATTTTGTT